GGTGTTTGATTTGCTGGTGTCTGACATGATGGTGTGAGAGATGTTGGTGTGTTAGATGCTGGTGTGTGAGTTGTTGGTGTGAGAGATATTGATGTGTGAGATATTGATGTGTGAGATGATGGTGGGAGAGATGTTGGTGTGTGAGATCTTGCTGAGTGAGATGCAGGTGTGTGAGATGCAGGTGTGTGAGATATTGGTGTGTGAGATATTGGTGTGTGAGATATTGGTGTGTGAGATATTGGTGTGTGACATGTTGGTGTGTGAGATGCTGGTGAGTGAGATATTGTTTTGTGAGATATTGGTTTCTGAGGTGCTGGTGTGTGAGATGCTGGTGTGCCAGATATTGGTGTGTGAGCTATTGGTGTGTGAGATGCTGGTGTGTGAGATATTGGTATGTGAGATGTTGCTGTGTCAGATGCTGCTGTGTGAGATATTGGTTTGTGAGGTGTTGGTGTGTGAGATGTTGGTGTGTCTGATATTGGTGTGCAAGATTTTGGTGTGTGACATGTTGGTGTGTGAGATGCTGGTGAGTGAGATATTGGTTTGTGAGATATTGGTGTGTGAGGTGCTGGTGTGTGAGATGCTGGTGTACGAGATATTGGTGTGTGAGAAATTGGTGTGTGCGATGTTGCTGTGTCAGATGCCGCTGTGTGAGATGTTGGTGTGTGAGATATTGGTGTGCAAGATATTGGTGTGTGAGATATTGGTGTCTGAGATGCTGGTGTGTGAGATATTGGTATGTGAGATGTTGCTGTGTCAGATACCGCTGTGCGAGATGTTTGGTTTGTGAGATGTTGGTGTGTGAGATGTTGGTATGTGAGATATTGATGAGTGAGATATTTGTGAGTGTGATATTGGTGTTTGAGATGCTGGTGTGTGAGATGATGGTGTGTGAGATTCTGGTGTGTGAGATGCTGGTGTGAGAGATATTCGTGTGTGAGATATTGATGTGAGAGATGATGATGTGAGAGATGTTGGTGTGTGAGAACTTGGTGAGTGAGATGCTGGTGTGTGAGATATTGGTTTGTGAGATATTGGTGTGTGAGGTATTGGTGTGTGAGATATTGGTGTGTGAAATGTTGGTGTGTGAGTTGCTGGTGTGTGAGATATTGGTGTGTGAGATATTGGTGTGTGAGATGCTACTCTGTGAGATATTGGTGTGTGAAATATGGGTGTGTGAGATATAGGTGTGTGAGATATTGTGATGTGAGCTGTTGGTGCGTGAGATGCTGGTGTGTGAGATGTTGGTGTGTGAGATGCTGGTGTTTGAGATGCTGGTATGAGAGATGTTGGTGTGTGAGATATTGGTGTGAGATATTGGTGTGTGCGATGCTGGTGTGTGAGATGTTGGTGTGTAAGATGCTGGTGTGTGAGTTGTTGGTGTGAGAGATATTGGTGTGTGAGATGTTGGTGTGAGAGATGTTGGTGTGTGAGACATTGGTGAGTGAGATATTGGTGTGTGAGATATAGGTGTGTGAGATATTGCTGTGTGAGATGATGGTGTATGAGGTATTGGTGTGTGAGATGCTGGTATGTGAGATATTGGTGTGTGAGATATTGGTGTGTGAGACGATGGTGTATGAAGTATTGGTGTGTGAGATATTGGTGTGCGAGATATTGGTGTGTGAGTTATTGATGTGTGAGATGCTGGTGTGTGAGATATTGGTACGTGAGATGTTGCTGTGTCAGATGCCAGTGTATGAGATATTGATTTGTGAGTTGTTGGTGTGTGAGATGTTGGTATGTGAGATATTGATGAGTGGGATATTTGTGAGTGTGATATTGGTGTG